AAAGATAATGCTAAGAGCATACCTGTTCATAGTCTGTCCAGGTTGATCCATCCATGCTGTGCTGTATTTTGAACTTAGTCAGCCAGCGGGTGCCTCCTCCCTTTGTGGCAACGCCGCTGATCTTGAGAGGCTGTGTCAGGTCAACCTCCACGAACTCCCCAGCCTGATCTGTGCTGGGAGCCCAGAAGTGAACCGTCCCGTCTTCCACCACCTTGCCGAGGTTTCCGTACACGGCGGCATGGCCTGCGTCCAGCTCCGAGGAAGCCGAGAAAGACGCGTCCGGGATGAGGTTACCGACCATCGTCAATGCTGGAGACAGACGTTTAGCAAAGTTGGATAGATACACAATATAGCACTATGAAAATGTTTAGTATAATTTTCTTAATTGCATTTACAGTAAGGCATTATTTTGCCATTTTGGATACTTCGTGAACTTCGAGTCATTTAGCATCTGCAGAGTTGGGTTAATCCCAAAGGGGTCCTCGATTGCAGCTACATATTTCTTACATCATTTTTACCTATACTTTACAATACTAGCCCATCTAGATGTACGGTTGCTGGGATATGGGAATTAGTCCGTAATGAAACTGGAAGTCCAGAATTAAACAGAAGGCTGTTAATTATGATAATGTCGTCCCTACATTGCTGTTGTATAGACGTTGCTCCGTGCTGCATGGTCACCGATCCTGCATGCTGCAGTAGGGTGAAGCTGGCAGCAGCAGCTGTAGGAGATAACAAGACAGTCTATACTTCAGAAAATCATTCAAAGTACAGTATAAATGTAAAAATATCTTTTTCGCTGGATACATAAATCAATTGATGTTATTAACAGCTGTGTAACTGAGACCATAACCTATCTGATAGTCTAACCAAAAGACAGACACTTTGATCCCCTTCAGCTCAGAGGAGGATGCTGACTTACTCTGAGGAGGATGCTGACTTACTCTGAGGAAGATGCCGACTTACTCTGAGGAAGATGCTGACTTACAATGAGGAGGATGCTGACTTACTCTGAGGAGGATGCTGACTTACTCCGACTGAGAAGTATGCGGACTTATTCTATCTATCAGAAAAGGAAAGTTCTGAGGAGGATGTTGACTTACCTCGACTGATGAGGATGTTGATTCGGAAGGCGATGCCGCCCTCGCTCCACTCGGCTGGGAAGAAGCGCAGGTATCTGCAAGTGACGTCAGCGGGGAACGGCTGGATACTCGGAGCAGTGCCATCCGTGTTGCCTGTAAATACCTGGAAACAAGATAGAAACGTTATTATTACTCCGTGAAGGAGGTCAGGACCTCCGGACGTAGTATTGTGTTTGCAACTACTGCGATACCTTGTCAAGTGAATAATATGTAGTAAATGAAAGATATTGTTATGAAAGCTGACTTTGTTCATCTATTTAGATTGTCGTGTTGTTGTTTTTATGTAGCCTGTGTTTACACTAGTCAGTCTGCAACTGTTTCCCCAAGGGGGGCGGCAAACCTCTGGGCAGGTGGCCACCAGGAGCGCGATTTTTTTTAGTCAGGCTAGATTATTAGACCAGGGATTTAGCCAATTTTACTATACGTTGTTACCAGTTGTTAAGTGATCACACACTGTTTACATACACTATTACTGTTCTTAATCTGCAAAATGTAAAACTTCACGGAGAATTGTCGCCTATGGACACTTGTTTGGTTTTTTACGACAAACAATTGCAACCCGTATCTAGAATCCACTATTTTTGGGGTGAAACCTCTTATCTCTGGATGAAAACTTTCTTGTTTGGTAAAAATGTGAATAGCAAAACTTACAAGAGATCAGTGCAATTTTGACTTGTTCACTATGCACAGTGCACGGTGCTTAAAGCTTGCCATGCCGATTAAACAGATACGTATACATATAGGTGTTTGTAGGTTACTGTGAACTGAAGCTAATGTGATACTGCTAGCAATTCGGTCCCAAACGTTAAGTAATGGTGACATACATCACTGTTAGCGATGTACATGCACCATATATTTGTAAACGAACAAAAATTATCCAACCCAAATGGCTGACATCTGACATAAAAAGATTAATGCTAGTCAGGGATGACCTGAAGGCTAAGGCACGGAAATCAGGGGAAAGCAAAGACTGGGAGGACTATAAAGCCAAACGAAACTATGTAAATAAGAGAGTTAGACTGGCCAAGACCAAGTATTGCCAGCAGAAGCTGGAGGAAAATACAGATCCAAAGAAACTATGGAGCACAATCAAGGAAGTCTTACCAACTAAGACACAGGCAACTACTAACTCTCTGAAATGGGAGGGAAAACATATTACAGACCTCCCTAACATCACAAATTGCCTAAATCAGTTCTTTGTAACTATTGGCAACAAACTGGCAGTGAAGTTCAGAAAACAAGCTGACCCCAAGTGCCCTACTAGATTTAAAAATCTGAAAGCTACCTTTCAGTTTAAGCAAATAAGTGAAGTGGCAGTATATGATAAACTAAAAGCACTGCAACAAAATAAAGCAACTGGTCTGGACAAGATACATGCTAGGCTCCTGAAGGTAGCAGCACCCAGTATATGTAAGCCACTAACACACATATTCAATTTGTCTCTCTCAACTGGTCACATTCCCGGAGACTGGAAGACAGCAAGGGTCACTCCAATACACAAAGGGGGGACACAGAAGACCCAAACAATTACAGACCCATATCTGTTCTACCTATCATCATGAAGTCTTTTGAAAGAGAGGTACACACACAATTCCTCAAATACCTTCATGAACACAATATCCTCTCCACCCAGCAGTCAGGTTTTAGGCCAGGACACTCTACAGCAACAACCCTACTAGATGCTAAGGATCACGTACTTCACAACATGGACAAGGGTAACCTCGTGGGGGCAGTATTCCTGGATCTAAAAAAGGCTTTCGACACAGTACACCACAGACTATTGCTAATGAAACTGTCATGGATAGGAATACAGGGTAAGGAGCTTCACTGGTTCTCAAACTACCTGTCAGACAGACAACAAATTGTTTCTCTGAATGGTATTCAATCAGATTACTTACCTGTTACACTGGGAGTGCCGCAGGGTTCCATATTGGGCCCTCTACTTTTCAATATATTCATAAATGACTTGCCTGAAGCTGTCACCACATGTAAGGTATGCCTATATGCGGACGACACAGCAATATTTTGTGCCAATAAGAATGCTAAACACATCGAGTCGACACTGAACGCTGAACTCACTGGTCTGGCCACCTGGTTCCAAACAAACCGCTTAACATTAAACATATCTAAGACTAAATGGATGCTTTTTGGTACGGCAAATAGGTTAAAACATACACCAACACTGGAACTCCAAATAGACCAGGAGATCATTGAACAGGTACTAACGTTTAAATACCTGGGTGTCAACCTCGACTGCCACTTAAACTTTAACGAACATGTGGATAAAATGTGCAGTAAAGTATCTCAGAGAATTGGACTACTTGGTAGACTTAGACCCTGCCTCACTATCAATATTGCTGACAAGTTATATAAAACAATGATTCTGCCTATACTCGACTACTGCGACATAGTGTGGGGGAGCTGTGGGGCCACTAAACTACAACAACTACAGATACTACAGAACAGAGCAGCTCGAGTGGTGCTTCAACGCAGACTACGTGACTGCAGCACTGAGAGCCTCCACCAGACACTGAACTGGAAGTACCTGGTCGATAGAAGATTTGAACACACTTGTGTGATGGTATTTAAATGTTTGAATGGCCTGACTCCAACTTACCTATCTTCTACTTTCTGCCATAATTACCATCTTCATACTTATAACACAAGACAGACTACAAAGCTACATTTACCTAATTACACTAGCACAGCAGGTCAGCGAACATTTGCTTACACAGGTACAAGTTCTTTCAACAAACTGCCGGCAGACATAAGACAGATCCCAACCCTGAAACGCTTCAAGGCAGCTGTTAAACAGACCTCTGACCTCCACTGATTCAATGATTTGTATATTTTTGTTCAGTTGTTTATATGTTTATATATGTTAACTTTTCAGTTATACTGATTTTCAGTTATACTGATTTCTGTTAACTTTTGTTACTTGATTGTATAATTTACTTTTATACAATTTGCTTTATGTTATGTTATATTTGTTTGTGACCCTGGGCCCTCTTGAAAATCAGCAATATTATGCTGTAGAGGCTACCCAGGTGTTTACAAGATGAAATAAATAAATAAATAAATAAATAAATACATGCCATATTTGTGACATGACAGATAATGAAAGAAATGACTGTGCTATCAAATCATATATATAAACCTGGTATTATAATTTACGTATCAAAGCGAAAGCTTTCATGCGCCAAATACATGTAGTAAGGACGTACGTTTCTACACAGTCTTCTCGTTCTACTATTTTTACTTACGTAGGCTGCACCGCTGTCGTCTGTCACAGGCTGAAACTCTGTTCCATCCGTGCTGTACTGGACGGTGAACTTCTTGACAAAGCGCGTCAAGGCACCCTGCACCATGACTCCCTGCAGAGTGGTAGTCTCTGTCATGTCCACCTGCAGGTACTGGTCGGTGCCGTCCGTTGCTGGTGCCCAGAATGCAGGCGTGTCGTCCGGCATGGTCATTCCGATACGGGCGTACGTGGGTCCGTGGCTATCGTCCAGGTTGGAGGAGGCGGTGAAAGAGGAGTCAGGCAGTACATTTCCGACTGCGACGAAGCCTGAGCGGAAAGAAGAATGAATTAACCCTTCACTCAACCGCGACGGGGCCCGACATCGTATACAGAATACATTTGACCCAGTGTTGACGTCGTACTTCAGAGAAGCCACATGACAAGCCTCACTGGGTCTACTGAGGACTCTTTTAGACCAGAGTGACTGGTCGAAAGCTGTAGGTAAGAACATTAATTTTATACTTCTTTTGTGTTGGAACAAACGTTCTACTTTAATTGATGTTTAAACATGTAACTACAAGCACAGGTGAACTTTCATGACAATATAGGAATGAAAAATATTATTATACCCTTTCCAGTCTCTTGTAAAACCTAAAACAGGCTAAGTGCCTCCTTCTCGGTGCGTTAGCGCTGATCAGCTAATTGCCAATAGAATCCCACCCTTTTGTTGTTGGAAGGAACGTTGCTCACCAATCAGGTCGCCGTTTGAGGGCAACAAGTAACATGATTGGCTGGTAACAGTGTTAACGCACGTGGATCACAGGTCCGTTCCCCAGGGTCCTTGCTTAATACACAAGCGATTGGCCTGGTAATGCTGAGGTCACTTTTCTAAACCGGGGCCCGGCGGGGCTGTTTGCATCAATGGAAAATAAACAATTCATATCGACAATATAACACAATTGTTTGTCTTTTCTGCTCCTTTATATCGTCCTTTTAATTCCCGAAAGCTGCCCGGCCGGGCCCCGGCTGGGAAATGTGACTTTATCATTACCAGGCTTATAAATTCAAGATAATCATGAGAAGGAAACTTACTTCTATGTTCAGTTGTCTGGAACTTGTGAAGAATGTAATATTGGTAAGTCATCGATGACACTGGCAAAAAAAAAGATTTAAAAACATCGTTAGCAAGGACTCAGATTTCAGGTCTCCGGGAAATACTAGTTTATTATCCTTGATTTCTTCAGTATTCTCCAGTGTCTGCTGGATCCGGGTTAGATTCTGATTCCTTCCTGTTCACCCCGTAATCCGGGTGCCACCTTTTGATTTCCTGTCATTCTTTCTGTCAATCTTCCCTACCCACGTGTTGTTAACGTACCCAGTCCAGATAAACATATACACAAACCCAAGCAATACTATTGTAGCTGGAAGTAAATATTTTGACATTTTAAGTGATGGGCGCTCACATACGTTTTGCATTATGGAGAACGAAATTCATAAAAGTATACTGTATTTTGTCCTATTCAGCATTCAGCGCCGACTATGATTAAATTTTACTAAACTTACAAAGAAAAAAACTATTCTTCTTTTAACTTCCCAAAAACCACTAATTTTGGAAAAGGTGGGACATAACGTCTTCCGTGGTCTAAAAAAGAGAAGTCAAGTACCTTTCATCAAGTACCAAGCATCTTTAGTTATTTTATACTACGTTTCATTGTTCTTTTCTGTTCGTAATCTGCAAATAGCCCCCCGGGCATGAATTTTCACTAAACTTCACTCAATTAAAGCTTGTTTCAGACTGAATAACAGCTTGTTTTATATGTGTTCGACTTACCTCTGGTGATTTTGGTGTTGACACGGAAGGCGATTCCACCAGGCCCCCAGGTTTTGGGTGCAAATCGCAGGTATCGAACAAGAATAGTGCGGCTGAGGTGTATAGTCTGCGTCCCAGTGTCATCGGTGTTGCCAGTGAAAACCTAAGGGGACACAACAACATTTTCAATTATCTTTGCACGCTTCCTCATTGAAAAAGAAAAGATTTGTATGAGAGGAATTATTGTTTTGGTATAAGGTTTAAAAAGTTCCGGGGTGGACGGGAGGTTCGGCCATGGTTGGCTTGAGTTTGGCTAGTGTTCGGGAGGAGTTCGGGGTGTTGTTGTCCGTCGAATTTGTCTCAGATTTAACTCAAATTCGATTTGATTCGTATAGGAAGCTAGTCGTGGCCTAAATCTGGTCAGATCGCCCTGCGTTCTGTGTCTTATTAACATAAGACGTGAGATCCCCGTAGTTCTAAAAAGTCCCATACTTGCCCCATGCCATCCAGTTCTTGCAGTTTTGCAAGAAATAACTTCTGTCTGTTAATGTACTACAAAAGAGGGCCAAAATATTGCACAGAAATGTATTAAAACAGCATTTGAAAGGCACAGGCGAAATGAATGGTGGAACACATTAGCCTTTAGTATTTAACTGACATCGGAAATGTTTTTAATACCATATCCTGTCCATCTGGTCCTTTGTACGTTGTCCATGTGACTCCATCCAAACTGTAACGCAGGTAGAACGCGGTCACAAAGCGCCCGGCGGCACCCTCAGTCTCTACAGTGGACAGCTGAGTCGGTTGGCCCATGTCGATTTGCATGTACTGGTTCTCATCGTCAGTGGCAGGAGCCCAGAAGGCACGAGAACCGTCTTCGTTCGTCTTACCGATAACGCCATAGAATGACGAGTGCTGCTCGTCAAGTGTAGAAGAGGCAGTGAAGCTTTGTTGTGGAATAGAGTCGATTACAGACACTGTATCTGTGAAGAGAAACACACCGCTTCAGTACGTATTTTCTCTCTCCCCCAAAAGTCATTTGTGTTGTGACTCTTTACAACAGAAAAAAAAATAGAGTAACACCACCACGAAGATACCTTACACAGATCATCTAAAACATGATTTGTTCCGAAATAATCAATTACAATGTTTCGTGAAATCATGTTTGTGTTTATTGTTCAGTATTAACGGCAATCATGTAAAACAAAAAGAAAATACATTTTTCACATCATTCAATTTTAGAAATCAGTACCTATGAAGGTAAGACGAACGGAAATTTGTCCAGTTACATGTTTCTGATTCACAGAAAAGTATTTTGAATAATTTTTTTTATTCACATTTATTTTTCGAGGATTGGGCAAAAAGTTATAAAACTTATCTCAGCCCTCTCCTCACACATAAAAGGAAACAATAAAACAAAGTAATAATAATAATAAGAAGAAATGACAAATTGAAGGTACATATAAGCTGGTGTACAAATCAAAATCAATGAACTAAATCAAACAAAACGTCCTGTCTGCAAAATAAAGTTGACAACCGCATCAAATATTTTACAGTTGTTGACAAACGACAATGAGGGGTTACCCCTGAGAATGGTAGAACATGAGGTGTTGTCGGTGACGTTGTTTGTGTCAAATGGCATGAATGTTAGTTAGAGATGATAACGCGTTCGTTAATGCGTTCGTCAGTGTACAGTGGGCAGTGTAGAAATTTTGAATAAATGAGAGCAAAGCTGTAATCTACCTCCTTCCTCTTCTGGTTCCTCTGGTGCTGGTTGTTCTGGTTCCTCTGGCGCTGCTCCTTCTGGTGCTGCTCCTTCTGGCGCTGCTCCTTCTGGCGCTGCTCCTTCTGGCGCTGCTCCTTCTGGCGCTGCTCCTTCTGGCGCTGCTCCTTCTGGCGCTGCTCCTTCTGGCGCTGCTCCTTCTGGCGCTGCTCCTTCTGGTTCCTCACCTGCGAATTCGAAAATGTCGAGATGTTAAAAACTTACTTAATCAGCACAGCGCATCTTTTAGGTATAAGAATGAATGTGTTGACATTTGAGATTGGTAAGTAGTGTGATAATTAGTGAGTTTCCAAAATAGTCTCTGTACACTTGAAGAAGCCACACAGGCGAAACCGGTCGTGTGACAGGCTGAATAAAAGTTTAAAACAAGAACTATGCGGCTCCAGATGTCTTACTGAGGGACGACGGCGTGTGCAACATGCCTCCGCTGGTCATTATTTTAAAGGTGTCCGGCTATCGCAAAGCTGGAATCGGCTTATATGACTAGCACAACAATAAGAACGTTTCAAAGCTATAATCCATAAACTGCGTAATAAAATATTTCATATAAGCCAAAGGTAAGTACTTGGTTTACTGTACAGACCTTCAATGACGAAAATATGGCGTCAATAAATTTGCATGTGCCTACCAACTTTGGTTGATGTTAGTACATGTATATCCCGAGACAGAAGAGTAACTATCCTGGAATCCAGAACTCGTTTTCCGGGCCGCAAGAGCCCTTCGCCCGCTGGTGTAAATTACCGCTACGGGGAGTCTAGCCCGGGGGGAGTTTGGCTGTCCCTATGTCGGGCTCAACTCCCCCGTAGCGGTAATTTAGATAGGCGGGCGAAGGGCTCTTGGCTGCCGAAGGAAAACGGCTAACGGCCCGATACTAGTTGGCATCCAGGGTAAAGAGTAACCAAAGTCCTCACCTGTTTCCTGTGCCTCCGCAACAGCTTCGTTCACTTCCTCAACAGTTTCCTGTATCTCTGCCTGTATTGCCACTTGCGCTGCAGTGTCTCCTGCGTCCACGGCTTCTTCAAACTCTTCAACTTGATCTTCTAGTCTCTCCGTTGCTTCATCTTGACGATAAGAAAATGAGATATTATTCAATCGACCAATCAACGAATTATTTAATTTACCACTAGGATTTATAACTAGTTGATTGGTTGTAAATCACGTTATAAGCGCAAGGGTAGTTTCTTTAAGAAAAAGACAGAAGATGAAGAGAAAAGAAAGAAACACCTTCCCCAAGTTAGACTTCATAAATGCTACGTTGAAAAGTAGCTTATTACACAATAGATCCTTCTTCGCAGGAAAATGGCAAAAAAAGAGAGCATGCTTCAATTTTTACTCACCCACGACCTCTGATTCAACATCGGTATTCTCGATGTCTTCAATCAGCGTGTCCACAGTGTCCACCAGCTCTTCGGCTGCCTCTTCTATTTCCTCTTCGGTGCCGGTTTCTAGAAGTTCATGAACTTCGTCCATCGTCTCATCAACCTCGTCCTGACTTTCCTCTGTGTAGGATAAAAAAAGACACAGTAAGAACACATGAGGTTGTTGTTCATTAGGACTTGTTTAAGACCATTGAAGCCCTTGTTACACATTCACGACATTCCCCCGAATCTGTTCCAAAATACTAGCCGACCAGGTTTGACTGATATTTATAATAGGCAGCACTTTGATCGGATTTAGGCCACGCCTACCTTTCTATCCGAATTGAAACAAATTTTAGTTTGACTGGAGTCAAATTTGATCCCTAAACACGCCTGAACACTGCTGACTTACGTATACTCCCGGGTGACTGATTGGTGTTTGCTGACTTATGATCGATAACCAGAGAACTATGGTCGAACATTTCGAATGACTTGATGAATGTTTTAAGAAATTTAAAACATTTGGCTGGCGCAGCAGAACAGCAGCCGAATATTGCCGAACGTCAACCGAATCAGCCGACCTTGCGCCGATCGTTACAATGGTTGCCGGGCTTTCGGCTAGCGTTTTTTTTATATTCCAACATGTAATCACCAGACGTGGTAACGGCACACTCAAGTTTTTTCAACTTATATTAATGCCGCCACCAACACAGGGGACAAATACATGACAGGACAATTCTCATTTTCACCTGAGCGAAGTGAGGAAAGTCGTGTAAAGTGCCTTTCCCAAGGGCACAAGATCGGTGGCATGTCAGGACTAGAACCCGGGACCTCTAGGTTCCGAGTCGCGTACTCTGTCGCTACGCCACACGACCACACGTTCGGCTAGCGTTTGGGAGGCCGAATTCACGAATATTTGACAAGGGCTTTAGGCAAAAGTCAGATATTCTTAAAACAACAGTTACTAGGCTAAGCCTGATTACCAAACCTGTTTTAGCTGCCGTGCCTTTTTCGTCCTCTGAGGAAATAGCTAGAATAGGTTTGGTAACCAGGTTAGAGAGTAACAACGTTAAGTAACGAAAAGTTTCTCACCAACGTCTTCCGCTGCTGCTTCCTCCTCTTGCTGCTCTTGAGCATCCTCTACAGCTTCCTGCAGTTCCTCCACAACCTCTGCAAGTTCCTCTGCGGCTTCTTGTTGTTCTTCCTCAGTTCCAGACTCGGCAGCAGTTTGAACCTCTTCAATTCTCTCTGCAATTTCTTCCTGCAACCCAGCTGTAAAGGGGTAAAGTACGATGCCATCGATTGGACATTCCTTGATTCCTTTGTAGAATTAAAATATCTCCAGTAGCCTTGGCATGGTTTATTCAACATCAGGTAAAACGAATTACCAGTACTATAATAGTACAATTTTGTTCATCATCAGCTTACATATTATTAATAATATTTTGCGGCCAACATATTGTTTTGTTGCACATAGTCTTCTTTTGTTATTACCCAATATTCGTTATGTTTGCAGACATTATGAAGACATCAAAATACACTAAAGGAGAATATAAAGACCCATAGGGTTTTTTAACTACGGAAGATTTTTGCATTTAGGTTTTGTAAAACATTAATTGTATCGTTTGTTCATAGCACACGGGTGTATGTTAGGCCAATTAAGAAGCCTGATCCATTAAAAAGGAATATTGATAAAAGATTTTAATGTTTTTTTTGTCGCAATGATGATACTGGAGATACTAACCGACTTCTTCAGTGTCAACTCCGGCCTCCTCCAAGCCTGACTCTAACTCGTCAACTTGCTCCACAATTTCCTCTGCCAGTTCTTCTACTGCCTCGGTGTCGCCGGATTCGACAGCTTCCGCGATCTCATCCGCGTTTTCTTCAACTTCGTCTTGGATGTCATCTGTGAAAAATCAAATATTTCTTTCAAACTCTGAGAATAGATTTGAAATGAAATTACATGATAAACCGTAGCCATTGGCTTATAAACACAATGTATTTATCGTTGAAATATTTGACAGCTTCCGAGATCTCATCCGCGTTTTCCTAAACTTCATCTTGAATTTCCTCTGTGAACAATGAAGTATTTCTTTCAAACTCTATCTGTGCATACATGTTTACAGTGAAGTGTCTAAGGATCTATAGTCATAACAAAGGTGTATTTTAAATTTGTAAAATACGTAAAAGTATAATAATACTCACCAACTTCCTCCGCTGCTGCCTCCTCCTCTTGCTCCTCTTGAGCGTCCTGCGCAGCTTCCTGCAGTTCCTCAACAACCTCTGCAAGTTCCTCTGCAGCTTCTTGTTGTTCTTCTTCAGTTCCAGACTCGGCAGCAGTTTGGACCTCTTCAATTCTCTCTTCAATTTCTTCCTTCAGCTCAGCTGAAAAAAGGCAAAGCATTACGTTAAAAATGTGTACAATATAACTACGAACCTTCTGTTGCTGGTAACTGACTTTGCATGTTTTATTCTTTGGGCTACCAATACTACGGCAGCAGAATTCTAAACATCATTAGACGTTTACACGCCACAAATCATGCATTTTGTGACCAATATCATATTGTTTTGTGCATGATAGATCTTTTGCTACTTTTTCTTATTTTCCTTAGCTTAAAAAAGTCTATACTACAGCATGAAAGTTCATCTGAGTTGGTAAATTACATTATGAAAAACTTAAACTGTTTGAGTTGGAGAACAGTTTAAGTTTTTCATAAGTCTATACTACATTGAGCAAGGAAAATGTTTTTTCTTGAATTCAGAAGATTTTTGCTTTAAGTTTTGATATCCGATTATATGTCTGTTTTACTGGAGATACTGACCGACTTCCTCAGTGTCAACTCCAGCCTCCTCCAAGCCTGACTCTAACTCGTCAACTTGCTCAACAATTTCCTCTGCCAGTTCTTCTACTGCCTCGGTGTCGCCGGATTCGACAGCTTCCGCGATTTCATCCGCGCTTTCTTCAACTTCCTCTTGAATGTCATCTGTGAAAAATGAAATATTTCTTTCAAACTCTGAGAATAGATTTGAAATGAAATTACATGTTAAACAGCGGTCATTATAAAAACAATGTATTTATCTTTGAACTATTTGACAGCTTCCATGATCTTGCCTGCGTTTTCCTTAACTTCGTCTTGAATTTCCTTTGTAAAGAATGAAATATTTCTTTTAAACTCTGTCTGTGCATACATGTTTACAGTGAAGTGTCTAAAGATTTTTAATCATAACAAAGTAGGTGTATCTGAACTTCGTAAAGTACGTAAAAGTATGATAATACTAACCAACTTCCTCCGCTGCTGCCTCCTCCTCTTGCTCCTCTTGAGCGTCCTGTGCAGCTTCCTGCAGTTCCTCCACAACCTCCTGAAGTTCCTCTGCAGCTTCTTGTTGTTCTTCTTCAGTTCCAGACTCAGCTGCAGTTTGAACCTCTTCAATTCTCTCTGCAATTTCTTCCTTCAACTCAGCTTTAAAGGGGCAAAGCATTACGTTAGAAATGTGTAGAATATAACTGATGATCTTCTGTTTCTGATAACTGACTTTGCATGATTTATTTTTGGGGGAACCAATATACTAGAGCAGCAGAATTCTGTACATCATTAGACGTTTACACGCTACAAATCATGTATTTTGTGACCAATATCATATTGTTTTGTGCATGATAGATCTTTTGCTACTTTTATTTTTTTTCCTTAGCTTAAAAAGTCTATACTACAATGAGCAGGGAAATGTTTTTCTTAAATTCAGAAGATTTTTCCTTTAGGTTTTGATATCCGATTATATGTCTGTTTTACTGGAGATACTAACCGACTTCTTCAGTGTCGACTCCGGCCTCCTCCAAGCCTGACTCTAACTCGTCAACTTGCTCAACAATTTCCTCTGCCAGTTCTTCTACTGCCTCGGTGTCGCCGGATTCGACAGCTTCCGCGATCTCATCCGCGTTTTCTTCAACTTCGTCTTGGATGTCCTCTGTGAAAAATGAAATATTTCTTTCAAAACTCCAAAACTCCTTTATTCTCCAGTGAGAATAGATGTTAGATGAAATTACACGGTAAACAATAGCCTTGGCTTATAAAACCATGACTTTATCGTTGAACTATTTGAAAAAAAAACATACAAGGACTTTTAGAAACTGTGCGGTTTGCTTTCGTCAAATTCCTTTCATTATCGTCTCAAGCTAGTTGATATGATACCTTTAAATTTTTCTCTTACTCCTTTCTGAGGTACCATAACTGTGTGTAAATCTTGAATATTGCATGGGAGGTACTTATATCTTGATACCGTGACAATGCTGACTGTATCTCAGCTGAATAGAATTGCTATTGGTAAATCTTCTAAACAAACGGCTAACACTATAAATAGTCAGAAATATATATTACATTTGCAGATTAGTTTTATCTTCCAAGCAGTTTTCTATTTAGGACTGTAATCTTAGGAAGTAGGTCTATTGTTAGCCAATACGTTTTAAGGAAATGGTAATCCCTTTAAATAGTGACTGCTGACAAGCATATGTTCCATTTCTTCAATTGTAGCGTAGATACACTGGCAACATCTAAGAACTTTATTGCATGACAATTGTACAAGGTACAACGTATAGCAGCAACTACTGAACATAGTACAAAAAGAAAGGTCATAGAATGAAAACATGTGTGTCGATACATAAGAAAAAAACACAATAAAGAAATGTTTCTACATTAAAATACCAGGATTGCTAATTTTGTGCCATAACATTCGTCAATATCATTGCAGAAATAAGATATTACTAACCAACTTCCTCCGCTGCTGCCTCCTCCACTTGCTCCTCTTGAGCCTCCTGCGCAGCTTCCTGCAGTTCGTCTATAGCCTCCTGAAGTTCTTGTGCGGCTTCTTGTTGTTCCTCTTCAGTTCCAGATTCTACAGCAGATTCCATCTCTTCTATTTTCTCTACTATTTCTTCTTTTATTTCAACTGTAAAGGTAAGGTACAATGGCATACGTTAGAAACTTATGTTAAATATGTAAAATAAAATTATCTTAAGTAGCTAATAGATGTCTTTTTATGGCTTATGTGACTACCAATACTATAATGCTCCACGATTCTGTACATCATCAGACGATTGCATGCCACCAATAATTCTTTGTGTAGATTTTCATCAACAACTTAAACCAACTTTTCGTAAACATTGTAAAATACATTTTGAAGTCCCTATATTATATATTTTACCCGGAGTGTCCCTAGAGCTAGAAGAACTCAGAACTCATGTGTCATATGTTAGGCCTATATATGAGCCTGAACCATTGAAAAGAATATTAAGGAATAATAATATTCTGCTTTACTGCTATTGTCGCAATGATGATAGTGGAGATACTGACCGACTTCCTCAGTGTCAATTCCGGCCACCTCAAGGCCTGACTCTAACTCGTCAACATCCTCTGTAATTTCTTCGACCAGTTCTTGTACTGCCTCGGTGTCGCCAGATTCGACAGCTTCCGCGATCTCATCCGCGTTTTCTTCAACTTCGTCTTGGATGTCCTCTGTGAAGAATGAAATAGTCCTTTCAAACTCTGTCTTAGAGGTAAATATCATGTGTTTACACATGGTTTTGTGTAATCATACAATATGTTGTATGATTTTGTGCAAACATACAATAAAGAACTGCTGGAAATAACAGGCCAGGAACTTATTGAAACCACCATTAGAAGAAGAAAGTGGCGTTGGATTGGACACACACTGCGAAAACCACCAACGTCCATAACAAGAAAAGCCCTAGATTGGAATCCCCAAGGAAAACGTCACAGAGGCAGACCCCGCCTCTCCCGGAGAAGAGGCGCGAGGAAAGACCTGGAGAGAGCCAACGTAACCTGGCAGGAGACTAAGAAGATAGCGAAGAACCGGAAACCCTGGAGACTACTCACAGAGGCCCTATGCTACCGAGTGGGCGAAGAGGACTAAGTCAAAGTAAGTCAACACGAGGGACAGTTAAGTTTCTAGCGATCTTTGATAACATGAAATCACCATTTCTAAAGCTAATCATTTAATAGATACCCTCGAATTTCTGTCTTCTTCTCCAGTAAAACTCCATAACTGTGCGTAGTTCTTGAATAGGGGTACTTTGAATTGTCCCATCGTGTCAAAGTGATAAACAAAGATATTCAATATTTGTCTATATCAAATGTACTTTTCCTGAATTCAGCAAACGGTTAACTTTATGATAAACCATAAAAAGTACGTTCCATTTGCAGAGTAGTTTTAGGCCACAAAGAGGTTTCTATTTTGGGACTGTATAGCTGGTTCATTATAACAAAATCAAAAGTGACTACGGAGAAAGGAATGTTCCTTTTCTTCAAATGTGGACTGCATTGATCACATTTTTGCCAAATTTGAGAGAAGAAAAAAAAATGAAGAACTATTTTTACTTTTAAAGGTCATAATGACAAACTGTGTGTGATGACATTCTTCAGGACTATTATAGAGAAATTACGCACCAACTTCCTCCGCTGCTGCCTCCTCCTCTTGCTCCTCTTGAGCGTCCTGCGCAGCTTCCTGTAGTTCTTCCACAACCTCTGCAAGTTCCTCTGCGGCTTCTTGTTGTTCTTCTTCAGTTCCAGACTCGGCAGCAGTTTGAACCTCTTCAATTCTCTCTGCAATTTCTTCCTTCAGCTCAGCTTTAAAGGGGCAAAGCATTACGTTAGAAATGTGTAGAATAGTAACTGATGATCTTCTGTTGCTGTTAACTGACTTTGCATGACTTATTCTTGGGCTAGCAATACTACCGCAGGTGAATTCTGTACATCATTAGATGATTACACGCCAGAATTCATGCATTTTGTGACCAATATCATATTGTTTTGTGCATGATAGATCTTTTGTTACTTTTCTTATTTTCCTTAGCTTAAAAAAGTCTATACTACAATGAACAGGGAAAATGTTTTTCTTAAGTTCAGAAGATTTTTCCTTTTGGTTTTGATATCCGATTATATATTTGTTTTACTAGAGATACTAACCAACTTCTTCAGTGTCGACTCCAGCCTCCTCCAAGCCTGACTCTAACTCGTCAACTTGCTCAACAATTTCCTCTGCCAGTTCTTCTACTGCCTCGGTGTCGCCGGATTCGACAGCTTCCGCGATCTCATCCGCGCTTTCCTCAACTTCGTCTTGGATGTCCTCTGTGAAAAATTAAATAGTTCTTTCCAACTTCTGTTGCATCAATTTAGATCCTGGTCCTACAGTTATGTTTATACATGCTGTACATTGAAGTGTCCAAATATCTCTAAGAACATGACAGTCATCTTTTTTTTTAAATTTCGAAAACTGTTTTTGTTTCTTTTTAAATTCCTATCATTATTGTAGTGAGCTAGTTACTTGGATATCCTGGATTATTTCTATCCATCTCTCCTAATGCTCCGAAACTGCGTAGTTTTTTTTTTTTAATATCGAAGGTACTTACAGTTGACCTACCGTGACAGTGATGAGCGTTTGTCAATGAATCGCAGGCATCCAGTATAAATCTATTACAAGTGAATCCTCTCAAATCAACAAACGGTCACCTTCATGAGCCATTTAAGGTACGTTTGAGCTTCAAAAAAGGGGTTTCTTTTGGGGACTGTTATCCAAATAGGCCAGTTCTAGCTTATCTTTGTTATTGTTTTAGTAAATACGGAAAAACGAATGTACTGATGTTCAATATATACTCTCATGGCCTGGTTACATGCGTCAATCCGTAAGAAAGAAAGAAAAAAACACAATAACGCAATTGTTTTCACATTGTAAGACAACATTGGAAAATTTTGTGTAATAGCATTCTACAGGACAAGTATTGAAATAAGATAGAAGAACTTTATTGCACGACAATTGCACAAGGTACAATGTATGGCAAACTACATAAAGAGAGTAACAAACAATAAGATAAATGTTGGATAAGACCTAATGTCTAATAAAACCTATCATATCTTAATTATTCGCACAGTAAGGGCTAGAACAAGTCTTTGATAAAGTGTAACAAACGAGTGGGCTAATTACAAGTTTCTGTATTTTTAAGATATTACTAACCAACTTCTTCGGCTGCCTCCTCCTCCTCTTGCTCCTCTTGAGCATCCTGCGCAGCTTCCTGCAGCTCCTCCACAGCCTCTGCAAGTTCCTCTGCAGCTTCTTGTTGTTCTTCTTCAGTTCCAGACTCGGCAGCAGTCTCTAACTCTTCTATTTTTTCTTCAATTTCTTCCTTCAACTCAGCTGTAAAGAGGCAAAGCACGATGCTACATTGTACACGTTAAAACTTGTAGAATTAAATAAACTAAATGTCTCTGCATGGTTTATTTATGTGACTACTCATACTACTGTAGCACATTTATTTACATCACGAAATGATTACATTCCACTAACTTTGCACTCTGTGACGCATATCATGTTTTGTTGCGCATGGTTGTTCTTTGTTTGTTTTTAATGTTTACATAGGTGTTGTACTATTGTACTAGATGGAGATATACAGAGATTCAGAACTTTTTTTCTAATTCAAAAAAAGTATGCTTTAGTTTTTAACAGAAAAAAGGACCTGAAAATATTTACAGGTAGATCTGGAGTATGCCTGATTTTTATATATTTCCAAATATTACATGTCTATGTTTTACTCTAAGTAATACTTCCAGTTTGGCAGAATAATCTAATACAGAGCAACGAATACTGATGAATGATTCTGCTTCACTGCTGTGTAGCAATAGTAACACTGGTGATACTAACCGACTTCTTCAGTGTCGATTCCTGTGTCCTCCAAGCCTGACTCTAACTCGTCAACTTGCTCAACAATTTCCTCTGCCAGTTCTTCTACTGCCTCGGTGTCGCCGGATTCGACAGCTTCCGCGATCTCATCCGCGCTTTCCTCAACTTCGTCTTGAAGCTCCTCTGTTAAAAATTAAATATTTAGGTTTCATTTTTGGGACAGTAATCTTTGGTTGTAGGCCAATTTTAGCTTATACATTTTAACGGAGGTTTACCGTTTTAGAAGTAACCACTGACAAAAAAATCAAAACAACAACCTTTTAAAACTTATAGGACAATATATTTTGTAATATTACTCCGCAACAGAAAATGTCGGTATGTAAACTACACACACATACAAATAAACAAATTAAACAATTTTATAATCTCTCAGTGAATTAAACATAGAAGCAAAATCGAACATATTTAAATTACATGATTATGTATGCGTCTAATACAAAAAGGCTCTAACGCGATCTTATTCGACTATTCTTTTTTATCTTTCGAGATTTATGTTTGGTAATGATATTTCAATTAGGGAAAGCACCATGACACATGGACAATAACCAGAAGATTATGTTTGTTTATTGTATTATCTTAATCTATGACCAAAAGTACAAGGTACATACATAAGACAGGACCATTCGTTAAAAATGAATAATCAGTTCTAAAGATAATAAGACATGATCACCAGCTTCTTCCTGTGCTTCTTCCTGTGCTTCCTCTGACTCATATGACTCTTCTGACTCCTCTGATTCCTCGGACTCCTCTGTAGCAGATGAAAGGTTTCATAATTCTGAACTAAAACTGTTATTTCCAACCCAATGGAACTGAATAGGAATTGCCAAATTGTGTGTGTCTCGTAATTTTAGTAAACATGGGGGCAGCGGAAATGTTTGAAACAGTGTTGAAATACTTAATAAACTTCATTTTCATTTACCATGCTGGGCCAAATTTCCAAGGCTAAAACAGATACATACATTCAAAATGACATAATTACATGGTATAGAAAAGGTACAGTAAATACATTTGAAAAGAATGCTTACATCACATAAGCAACAATAAACACACAAATGAACAATTTAAAAGAGGAGATCGAGGGTCGAGATGAAACTGTTCGGATATCAGTTTTCTTGAACTGAATAGATCACACAGTGTCACAGATAATAGATCATTAATATTCCAAAGCACACATGCACGATACAGAAAGGAACGTTTCCTGCTGTTCGTTTTAGGTTTGGTTAACATGAAGTTGACAGTGACAGTGGAAAATCTGGTGTTAGGAATGTGAGCTGAACAGGTAAAAGGGAGTTGTAGATATTCTGATATTGACTAGAAAGGATCTTAATTAAAGAAAATCTCTTTCGCAGTCGGTCAACCAAAATCCAGATGCATCTGCCTGGTATGTGTATCATGAGTGCATTTTGATAACAGTCTACATGTATAAGCCCTATTTTGCCGTTTTTGCTTGTTGGACTCTGACATATTGGTTAAGACTGGTTAGCAATACCCATAACATGAAATTATTTCGACAACAAAGTTGTTACCTGATGAGACTTCTTGTACTTGAGGGATCAAGTCTTCAAGGATCGCTTCTAATTCCGCTTCCACCTGTTCTTCCGTACCGCCGGGTACTATTAGGACACACGTTTGCATATCAATAGTAGCAAAATTTGCAACAAGAAAGGTGTCCAAAAATACATTGTGGGCGATGTTATATCTTGACTACATAGGATACACATACACATACCATCTTCAGGACATTTGTCTTATTGAATATGGAGACATTCATTATAATTAAAAAAACTGGGATAATTCTAAGAAAATTGCAAGACTTAATGCCTTCACCAAATGAGGTTAACCATATATCTGCAGTATTGCATATGTTTCTCATTAATTACTAGTAAATACAAGAAGGGGTCTCATATCTATACTAGTGTTTTATATTTGCTGACCATATTCTGCAAACAAATAATAGGAGTCATCCAATGACAGTCTCAATTCAAGTGGAAATTCATTACTAGTATAATGTATGTGGTCCGAATTATCATAATTTATGTATAACCATGTTCAACTTCACTTAAAAAGGCAAAATAAGCGTGCAATAGTACAGCTCGCATCGAGATGAATTTGTGTCGTGTGATATTTTAATTTGCCAAGCAGTGCACATACCAATTCCAATTGCTGGTCTCTGCTGTGGTATTTGTGGTATTGGCATCTGGCCTGGTCTACGACCTAAAACAAAACAGAAACAGCTAAGCAACTACAGCAAACATATCAAATAAAGACTGCTTCATAATTTTTGTCAACAAAACTTTTAAAGCTCTTTTATGTGCGTGCAGGCATCTAGCAAGCAAAATCCACTTTACTCACCCTCCACTGATTCTAATTTAATAGTCCTTGACTTGATAATTCATTGAACTCACCTTTGAACGCGATGATTTGATTGTTGATGATCTGAGGTGCTCCCTCTCCCTCACATCCACCGCAAGCATTATCTGCAAACAGATTCAAGATTATGTCAAAAAGGAAACTTTATTTTACAAATACATTATGGATGAATGTATGGACAAAATGCACCAATGAGGATACCCTCTCTTACTCCTAAAGACGTGAACGCATTCGTCGTAAGAAGTCGTACGACTTTGATCTAACATAATTCCCAACCAGACCTCGATGGAACCAACCACAACAATTCATTATAGACACCCTATTTACATGTAGCATTTTGACACATGTACAACCATCTCAAGATTGCTCTTAGCTATAGATAGCGATCGTACGACGATCGTGCGACGAATGTGACCAAGACCTAACGTAGAATTCATATTGTGAGGAAACAACGACTTACCAAGAACGGTAATCTGGTTATTGATGATTTGCTTGCCCTTCCCTTTTCCTGTTCCTCCGGGGAAATATGGCTGACCGGAGTTTGGACCAATCACAAGATTGACTCCATCGGGTAGTCCTCCAGATGAAATAAGCTGTCCAATAGCAGAACCTGTTGCAAGGAAACAAATCGTTATCGGGTCTCTAGCAACCTCATGTATTGAAATATTTGTTACCGCTATATTCATTGGCTCGTATCTTCCAACGATAGGGCATAGGGAGATAATAGTAAGTGTTTTTCCCCATCATTTCAGATTAGATTACTGAAACCTTTTCAAGAATGTCTCTGTGTAAACGCACAATGTTGTGTCGATTTTATTTAGCTATCGTTGAAAGACATATTTGCAATTGGAGTATACAGAATAAAGTAGAAAGTATGTGCCTACCTGGATGATTGGCATCTCCAATAAGTAGATTGACGCCTCCTGCAAGAAAAGACAATTTGTTAGTTATAATAGATAATTTAGGTTAACTAAAACTAAAAGTAAACTACCCCTGTACTGCTGAACTTTGTTCGTAATTTGGTTCATTAATTTCATTTTTAAAAAGGTCATTAAAACTTGAGTCTTGTCTTCTGTGCTGTTTTGACAGAGTCACTTCCGCATTCGGTACGTTTCGCTGCGTTCATCTGAGAAATACTGCCAAACCATAAATTTGGCCTTATTGCCCAGTAAGGGTACCTAATGGCCTGGATTCAGGTGAATATAAATATACGGGACCCGTATGCAGGCACTGTATATTTGCAACCCAGCATGCAGGCGACGGAACCACTTTGTTACAAAACATTCATATACGTACGCAGGAGTAATATCTGTACTTACCTGGCTGGGATGGTTTCGCTGGCCTTTGTCCAGGTCCTGAAAGATAATTATCATTGCTGAGGAGCATGATACAATTTGATAAATAATATTTTTATTTAAAAATGAAGCCTTTGATGGATCATAAACCATCTAGATGTGTCTTAGTTTTTAAATTTTTGTATGCACAGCACCATGTCTCAGCTTAGCAGCTACTCCGTGGCGGATGCTGGCGAATATAACAGAGATGGCGATTGGCACAGATATTACATTTGTGCCTGTCCTTGAGAGATACAATGTCCGGAGTTCCAAAGCCTTACGGTTGCTAGGAGAAAGGTTCTTCTGTAAGACGTTGTGAATGAATTGTGGCAAATTCCAGACCTTTAATGTAGCAAAGACAGTGTTTGACCAAAGCCCCTGTCACACATTCACGAAGTTTCCCTCCTGAACACTAGCAGAAATCCCCCCAACCCTGGTTAGTCTGCGCAAAGTTGGTTGGTGTTCGGATTTTCGGAGTGTTCAACTGTAAGTCGGCAGAACACCAGTTAACCATTGAGGAGTAAGTCAGCAGTGTTTGGAGCGTGTTCTTGGGGGTCAGATTTGACTCCAATTCAACTTAAATTCGTTTCGATTCGTATAGAAAGGTAGAGTGGCCTAAATCTGGTAAAAATGCTCTTGACGAACGTCAGTCGAACCTAGTTGGCCAGTGTTCGGGAAAGAATTCGGGGGAAGGTTGTGAAGGTCAATCTCTAAGCAGATCATTTGGTGGCTGCAAAAACAGTATCAAACAAGGAGAAGTCGTAGACATCGTCCCTCCATGAAATAGCTTGTTATTTTGTAATCTTTTGGTGTATTTTAATAGAGATATTATGAGTCAAACTTTGTTTTTATCAGCAGAATGATAGATGTCTATAGATGTCTATCCTTTAAGAATTTTGTTGTGGCACTTCACAGATGACCCAGTTCCCTGCTGAATGACCGATTAAAGATAAGATATATTTCCTGCAGACACTGGTACAGAGGTAAAAATAGATTGGCCTGACCTGCCAGCTGGAGGTATAAACAAAAACACTCTGTACCAATTTGGGGTCAAACAGACCATCCTATTATGAAATAGGGGTGAAAATCCTTTTAAATAAGCAATGCAAATCTACCACAACCTGCTAATGCACGCTAAAACGCAAAGACAACCAGCGTCTACCCACATACCAAAAATGATCGCCAACCATCCACCGGGTTCTGAGATCATTCAACGCAAACAATCTGACATTGAGATAGCAATCCCGGTTCAAAGCAAACAGCTAGGGGGCCCAAATTTACATCAGTAAACCATTGTAACCACAACTACATGCTACCTTAGCATCGCACACACAGACCATAACGTGCCAACAATAGAATAAAAAAATTAAACTGCAGTACCAAGGTCAATCACCAGGTGCTCAAAGTCAACCTACACAATCTCCAAGGCCCCATCCATCAATATGCCAAATATCATACAGTTCCTTCTCACCGATCTTCAGATATCAGACCAAACATGAAACGGAGTAAAAACAATACCCCCCCATTTACATGGAGGGTAATTAACCAGGCAGTTACCATTTCACTAACTATGCTAACTGCCTCGCCAATGGATACTGTCTGGCCAAGTTGATACTGTGTTTGTAGCCACCAAAAATCTGCTTGGAGATTAGGAAATGTATGACAGGGATTTGACTAATTACATGAAATGACTGGTAATTAAATATCTCACGAGGAAGGATTGGCTGCTGTGGTCGCTGGACTACTTGTCCAGGTACTGGCCGTTGTGGCCGCCCGGGTATGTATGCGGGCCGTTGTGGCTGCTGAGGCCGACCAGGTACGTATGCGGGCCGTTGTGGCTGCTGTGGCCGACCAGCTACAGAAAGTAGAAAAAATCAATTCTACAAACTGCGTCTGTGCCTATGTTCAATCTAGCAAAGCAGCAATGGTGGCTGAGTTTGTCTTACTGATTATAAGAAATGAATAGTAGTTTGAAATATCTCACGGAAAACGGGAAATCCTGGTCTCACTGGTCGTGGGGCAACCGCGGCCGGTAAGGCTGACTGCACCGCCTCAGCTAAATAATGAACAGAAAATTATTTAAAGTGCTTTACATTTTTTCAACTTCGTCCATAACATTAAAGTTAACTGGCTACATATAAAAAGGGCAAATCGTAGTATTTTTAAAAGATTCTGTATTTTGCCTTGTCTTTTGTTTCCTGTAAGACAACATATCATTCTGATCATGTGTGGGGTAAGGCTCTCTTCAAATACGAATCCTCATTTTAATCTCCGTCTGAGGGACGAAGCTAAGTAGTTTTCACCTGAGTGGAGTGAGGAAAGCCGTGCTAAGTGCCTTTTCCGAAGAGCGTCAGGGCATGTAGATGGATTCAAACTCAGGACCTATGGTTTCTGAGCCGAATGCTGTACCATTTCACCAGACGGTGCCACGACAATATGTGTATGTCAACTGAACACGAACACAAAAATACAATCTTATATTTTGTGTTTTTGTTCTGTTGATTACGACTATGGTCCTTACATGCTGCTGTTTCTTCAACCACTTCCAGTTCGCTCTCCAGCTGCTCGGCAACTTCTTCAATAACCTCAGTGTCTCCGGATTCAGCCGCTTGTTCTACCCTATTGAGCGTCTCCTGGATTTGACTCACAAGCCCAGCTGAAATATGATATAATAATAATAACCTTTATTGTACATTCATGCCCTCGGGCTAAATGTAGGTGACCAGCAGCAGATGAAAAGGTATACACATGTTTGTATTACAAACAGCTCTAAAACTATTCTAACACAAGAGGTTCAGCTTCTTCTCGTTTCTTTGTAATATTAAAAGTATAGTTGTTTTTGGTTTTGGCAGTTTGAAGCCTCTCTTTTGCGCTTGGAGTGTGATATATTAGTGGGTATCTTTAAATTCCTGTAATCGTTTGTAGATTGATTCTGGCTTTTTGGTTGTTAGAAGTTTGTTAAACATAGAAAGTGTTCATGTGTACAGTCTCTCTTTAACAGTGGACCAGTGTTCTGAGCATATCATCAATGCTAGAGTTGCACCTGGCATTTCGCACAATATATAATTATAACGACCAAGTGACGAAAAAAGCGAATGTGTATGTTTAGATCATATGTTATACTTACGATTACTGTCTTCAAGGATGTCCCCTGCTTCACCGGCGACTATTTGTTCAAACTCAGCCTGGATCTCCTCCGCCGCCTGCTGTATATCCTCCTCGTCACCTTCTCCCAGTGATGAAAGCTCTGAAAGCAGGTCCTGTACTTCGTCCTCTGTATTTTCAGCTATGATACAAACAACAGAATAAATGTTAGTTACTGACAGTGAAACTGTAAAAAAAAACTTCCTTTTTTAAGAGCACGCTATGCAGACAGAACACGTGACTGAGTGAGCAGTAGATCATCAGTTGCAGAGAGTCTGTGGCGCCTCCCGTCTCTGTTGAGGGATAGGTGTAATGCCTGAATGGATATATATACAATAGGTTCTTTAATTTTTTTAAAACATTTCTGCAACGTATGATCCACTGCTGACCTATGCAAAGAGAACACGTGACTCGATGAGAATTGTATCATCAGTTGCAAAAGGTCTTGTAACCATAATGTATTCTTTTTATTGTAGGACTTGCATTTTATATTAGAGTCCGATCCATTTGCTCATTTTCTTGTTTTACGTCTGTACTTTTTGTAGGTCCGGCGTTACCAGTTTAATTGTACTTGTTCTAGCCATCATGAACAGCATTTTTTTAGATCTTCAAAACACGTAACAACTGGCAAACAGCTATTGGACCACGGATAGTCCTTATATGGTTATAGGCACTGCTTGGGTGTTGAATATTAAATGTTACGTCACGCTACCAGCAGTTCTTAATCTACTTATTAGTCTACCATACAAAAAACAGAGCTGACTGCACTGATTTTTTTTTAAGTAAAGAGTTTGTCAGTAACGTTTAGAGACTGAGACGGACCCTGTTTATTTATTTTGATAAATGCGTGGGGAATCCAGGCTATTCATGATCTGTTTCATTGCCAATAAATACAAATACAATATACACAGTATATTTACCAATTTCTTGAGTTTGTTGCTCCTCTACTGCGGTTTCCACGACTTCATTGAAGTTCTCCACCTGTGTCTCCAGCTCTTCAGCCAGCTCTTCAGCCCGGTCCGTGTCTTCTTCTTGCAGCGCTGCCTCCAACTCTTCCGCAATCTCCTCGATCTCTTCCTGTGCGCTCTCTGTTGTAAGAAAGATTACTTAATTGGGGTGACCATATTTGTACATGATACATGTTACACGTCGATTTTGAAACTGGTGAAAGTTTTGCTGACTGAAATTGAGTCTAAGTCTGGTGGTTTTGTATGGCAGTACAAGTGAGGTTGGGTGGGAAGGTTATGAAATGACTTTTCTTTTAGAATTGCAATCGATGTAGATGCTCTTGTTGTTAATGGTGATTTCAAAATAGAATAGAACTCGGCGGTAAAGAATTTTTTTATGTTTCAGTTCTAGTTAGAATCAAGACGTAGTTTTAGCTAGTACTTATACAAGGGCCAAGGGTTTGTTAAGGTAATAATTATTTTAGGTATCAAGGTGCCAGGCCTTAAGCTATTTTGCAAAAGTTAACAAGCATGAATTAGTGCCACCCAAAACAATATTTCCGGAAGTAATAAGATTACCCACCAACTGCTGGTGTGTCCGCTCCAGCGTCCTCTGCCACGGAGACCAAGTCGTCTATGTTGTCAGTGATCTCGTCAATCGTTTCTTCGGCTTGCTCGGTGTCACCTTTTTTGCACAACAGAGAAGTACAGAATACAATACAAACATACATTAGCGGCCTATCAGCTCTATGCCATCACATACAACTCTCCAGTTCTCTCTATCTAATATTGCATTTCCTAAGTATTCGAGTTCTATGCCGGTGTCTCTAGTGAAGGTATCGGGAAAAGTCATCAGACTTCTGCAGTGTACTCGACCTCTTGGCTTCCAGAGAAGGACAGAAGAAATTATTTCCTGCTTAGCTAGATAACAATGTCCTGTAAATTTTACCCTGCGGTGGGTGGTTTCTGAGACAGCCTCGGAAGACCCCCATATATTGTTTAAATAGTGGCATGTTGTGTCCATGATATATTTTGTGCCCTTCGCAGCAACTTAGTGTAGGTCCCATCTAATCTGTTTTGGAGTTGACATGTAAGTGTCCATGTCTCCGCACCATAGAGTAAAATTGGCTCTACGAGGGTACGAAAGACTTGGACCTTCAATTTGTTAGGAATGTTAGATTTCCAAATTTTATCTAATTGCTTCTCAAGCCAAAGCCTTTCTGGTTTCAAAATCTTTTTTTTTTTTAGTCTTAAATGTAAGACTCTAAATATTTGAAGTTTTCAACTCTTTGAATACAATAAACAATGGGTCACACGGGTAGAGAAGAAGGAGAAGGCGTGCACAGCTTGAAATATGTCCTCGTTCTCTATAATAATCAATTTGGATCCAAATAAACTAAAATGATACAGAAAATGTCATAACGATATGTCATAAGGATACCTTGGCTTAGGTCTTCCATAATATCTTGCAATGCATCCTCGGCGCCCTCTTGAGCAACCTCTGTTGGAGAAAACACACATGTTCGTACGACCTCCGAATAAAATTATTATCAATGAAGAAATATTAATCCTCAAATTCCCCAGTAAATCTCTACGCGAACTTAATGTGCATTTGCACGCGTTTCCACAATATTCATGACGACAGTAACTGTTCGTCAAATAAAGTTGAATTTTGTATTTTTAAACGAGCTATGAAAGTACCACTGCGAGATTATCAGAAAGTTGGTAACTAAGAAGGCAGTTGATTTTTGTGGAAAATATGCATGGCGATACCCTTGTTCAGTCACGTCACCTGTGCTGACCTTCTAACTTCTTGACCACTTGAATTATCTCGTGAGTAGCTGACGAAAGATGGTGAATGTCGGCTGAAAGCTTCTACGCTTTTCATAAGGCCACTGCAAGTAATTTTTTATGGATCCGCGCGCATTAATTTTCGCCTGATTTAAAAAAAAAAAGAAGAAATTTTGTTGCCTTCTGACAGTGGTCAACATGCCGAAAATTGGCAAATATGTCTGTTGCCATGCCAGAAGGTGGATGGCAGATAACTATGAAGCGAGGAGACAAGAAACGGCTCTAATTAAAAATATGCTTTGTTTCTTACTTTGATGCAGTGATATGTGATGCTGGCTGTGTATATGTGATGCTCTTATTGAATCAAAACCATTTGTACAATGATTGAGTCGAAATTTTAAATTGTAGGGACCTTGTTTTTTCGGCCTGCCTTGTCATCCATAAAATTTACATGCTGTGGCATGTAAATTTTAATGTAAATTTAAATGTTATATATTCATACTATAAATATGTATGAATATTCTAGAAATACCTTCTTTTTACGATATGACGGATATAGCAACCGAATGATGAATGTTAGGCCATAACGAACCTTGTTCTTCTTCTTGAGCAGCCTGTTCAGCTTCCTCTTCATATTGTTCGTTGAACTCATCTATTTGTTCCTCCAGATTCTCAAGCGCCTCTTCTCTGTCATCCGAGCTTCCACCAGACTCGACAATATCCTCAAGCGCTTGGACGGCGTCGTCCACAGCGTCCTTTGCGACCTCTTTAGGTGATTTCAATTGGGAAGTGTCAGAATTTATCTTGAAAACCTTTGTTTACTACATATATCTTAGCTTACGCCCAGGTCTATCTGGTATGGATATCATTGTAGCAATTCTGTACATCATAAATACACATCAGTGTAGTTTACGGCGTTAGAATGTATAGATTTATACATGTTAGAAGAATACAGATACAGTGTAGGTAGTATATTGGGCATGGCTACATTTATATTAATGTCACATTCTTTGCCACTTGGTAGAAAAAAGTTTTAATCTTACACAAAATCTGTTACAAGTACCATCATAAACAGTAAAGGTGATACCTACAATTGGGGATACTTTCCAGTGAGAGTAAATACAAACAACAAAGATCATGCTACCATGAAAGGTCATCTGTGTCGGTAGTTACATGTTTAAAGTTAAAACTTTCGATCCAGCACAAAATTCACTTAACCGCGACGGGGGGCGACATCGTCTACCAGATACCTTTGACCCAGTGTTGACGTCATACATGTACTTCAAAGAAGCCACGTGACATTTTAGCCTCACTGGGTTGGTCTACTTGGTCTACTGAGAAAGACCAGAGTGACTGGTCGCAAGCTCTAGATGAGAGAATTTTTTTTTGTGTTGGATCGAAAGTTTTAACTTTAAACATGTAACTACCAACACAGATAAAGATCATGATTTTCCTGTTTACTGTCTCATTTGTTAAATGCGGTGTCTACTGACCAAGCTCTTCTGTTTTGATGTCGGTGTCTGCTGCAGCGTCTTCCTTTGCCTGGACTTCTTCTAGAATGGCTGCAGCTGCACTCTGTACTTCTTCAGCGTTTTCTAAGTTCTCGCTTATCTCAGTAAGGTCCTCATTTATCGACTGCTCTGCAACCTCTGAAAGGTATGAAAAAAAAATTCAAGTTGTATTTTCATAATTGTGACTGACGTTATGCCACATGCTATTATCATTAACTCTAAGGAGAAACAACACAATGACAATTGAGTAGAAACTATGACAACAGTACTCAGCACTGAATAAATTTAATTGGCAACATACATTACCCAACTCGTTGAAATAATATTGTCTGTCAACTTTTTTTTATTTCGTCCAACTTTAAATTGACTACACTGACACAAAAAGTACGGTCATTGGGCCCGGCCAAAACCATCATGCAAGTACAGCACAGGGAGGCCTGAAAGGAGGGAAATGGAATTTGAGTTGAATTGGTGTCATTTTTGATCCCTTAATATGCCCCGAACATTGCTGACTTACGGGCATTCGGCTTGCGTTCGGGAGGCCAAATTCGTGGATTTGTGACAGGGGCGTTAGATGAGATGAGAGATGAAAACTGGAAATGTAAGAAATAACGAACCGACCTGCAGCCTCCGCAGCATCTGCGTCCTCCTGAGCCTCCTCTGCTGCTTCCTCAACCTCGTGCATTGCCTCTTCGAGTTCTGAGATGGTTTCTTCGATCTCCTCTTCATCTCCGCTGGTAAGAGCCTCTTGGACCGCGTCCTGTGCTGCCTCTGCTGTCTCCAGGGCGGCATCTGTAGTACAGAAAGTCATTTTGATGCGATTTTATGCT